GAGCTATTATCACATTATCAACCAATTGTCTTCCCTTCACAAAATCATATTGGTAATCACTAATACTTCTCAACCATGAATTCGTTCATAGTTTTTGTAATTTTTCACAATTAGCTACTAGGTACTTTTTGCCGTTTTTCTTTCTTTTTATTTTTTTTTTTCATTTTTATATGGTCTAATAATGCTTAATTTTTGTATTTTCGGGCATACTATGGTCAATTTTATTAGGTGAATATTTTTTGTAAAAGTAAAGTTACAGTACATAATTGTAATTTATTGGATATATTTTGTAATTTTCCAAAACTAAAAATTATCAAAAATAATAATATAAAAACTCAAATGTTATGTACTTGATTATTTATAAATAAATTTCTCCTAGTTGCAGAAAACGCTTCCCCCAAATTTTACGAAGCTCGCCTCCCAAATTCTGTTCTAGTTGCCTTCCTCTGCGTCGGCTTAGTTCGACAAGGGGTCAGCCTTGACCGTCTGGCCCACTCCCAGTGCAGCGCACTTTCGATGTGGCCGCGTACTGCAGTGTGCAGAGATCCGGTCTGTCGTCGTGGTGTGGGTCTCAGTGGGAGGTGGCGCTTTGCCCGGCCGGCATTCAACGGACGATTGGAGGCGCCTTCTCCGATTTTCTTGTGGTGCTCTGGTTCGCGGTGGTTTGTCCCTCCTTGGGTCCTCCTCTGTGGCTGCAGGGTTGCGGCTCTCCGGCAGGGCTCTCACCTATTCGGGTGGGGTTTTTCGGTCGTCTCCGGCAACTTGTGGTGGTGTCGGGGGTGCGAGAGCCGTTGAGTGGGGTGGGATCCCGGTTGCAGTGTCGGTCTGGTGAGGCAACCGAGATTGAGGGCTCGGGCCAATCACGTTTATCCTTGATCGGCTAGTGGTATTGGGCGGTGGGGGATTGAGTGCTATCGAGCTTGGCTAGTGGTGTTAGACGAGTTCGGTGGGGCTGGTGTAAGTGCTTGTTTCGGGCTCTGTCGGTTATAGATTGGTCGATTCGGGATTGAGTGCAGTTTCGGTAGCGGTTCTCGGGCTCGATGTTTTCTGTGTGTCGATCGTTCATTGCTGATTGAGCTTAGTTCGGTTCGCAAGGGAGGGTTCTTTTTTCGTTTATTGTTTTTTTTTTCTATTTTTCTTTATTGTGTGATTGTAGTGTTTATGTTGTTGTGGTCTATGTGTCTTTGGTTTTGGCTGTTGGCCCCGGTTTGACCCGAGTGTAGCCTTTATTCTCCTGTTGGGAGTTTACACTCGGGTATTACCCTGTTGGGGTCTTTTTAATTTTTTCGTGTGTTTCTAGTTTGGTGTTGGTGTCATATTATGCTGGTCATTCTAGCTTTGCTAGTTGGTATTCCGTGTATGTTACATCAGCCGTGTGTGCAGCCTTCCATTCCCCGGCTTCGGGCTCGTCTGTGTATATTGCCTTTTTGGCCTTTTTTATGAGAATGTTTATGACGTTTGAAAAAAAGATTATTTATAAATAATAATAATAATAAATATTAAATAAACCATATAAAGATTAATATAATGTTTTAAATTTACATTAATTTCTCATTTTGTTGGTTCAATATGAACCAACTGTTTCCTGGATTAATTTACCGGAAGAAGCCCCCATTTGAATCATGATTTTCTCCAAGGAAAGAAACCAAACTCGGTCAAATGCCTTCATAAGATCCAATTTTAGAGCCATGAATTAGTTCTTGCCAGATGATGTCTATTCAAGAAGTAAAAAACTTCTTGAGCTATTATCACATTATCAACCAATTGTCTTCCATTCACAAAAGCATATTGGTAATCACTAATACTTCCCAACCACCAATTAGTTCATAGTTATTGTAATTTTTCACAATTAGCTACTAGGTACTTTTTGCCCTTTTTTTTTTCATTTTTATATGGTCTAATAGTTCTTAATTTTTGCATTTTCGAGCATATTATGGTCAATTTTATTAGGTAAATATTTTTTGTAAAAGTAACAGTTACAAAACATAATTGTAATTTATTGGATATATTTTGTAATTTTGCCAAAACTAAAAATTATCACAATAATAGTATACAAATTCAAATGTGATGTACTTGATTATTTATAAATAATAATAATAAATACTAAATAAACCATATAAAGATTAATTTAATATTTTAAATTTACATTAATTTCTCATTTTGTTGGTTCAATATGAGCCAGTTGTTTCATGGATTAATTTACCGGGTGAAACCCCCATTTGAATCATGATTTTCTCCAAGAAAAGCAACCAAACTCGGTCAAATGCCTTCATAAGATCCAATTTTAGAGCCATGAAATAGTTCTTGCCAGATGATGTCTATTCAAGAAGTGGAAAACATCTTGAGCTATTATCACATTATCAACCAATTGTCTTTCCTTCACAAAAGCAATTGGTAATCATAATACTTACCAACTAATGCAGGTGTGAGCGTCCTGGCCAGTTTGGAATAGATCACCTTTCGTCCTTGCCGGTAGAATGCCGGAAACCTGCAAACAACTCTCACACCAGGGGTTGTTTCGGTGAAGAGCCTCCGATGCTTAAGTAAGTATGTGTATATTTGAGTAGAATAATAGAAATCGTGTTAAGGAAGAAAGGCTCACCCCCACTTATATAGGGGTGAGATACCTGACCTTAAGGCTGCCCGAATTTGGTGAGCTGGTTGCCCCAGCTACCCGTTCGTACTCTGACGTGCCGCGCGCATGTCAGAGGTGGTTGTCGCTATCAACCAATGTATTCTCGACATGTGTCCTCTGCACATAGGATAATTATTCCCGTGAATATTCCCCTGAAATTCCGTTAAAGACTCTTACACGCGTCTGTGACTAGGTCGATCTCCAGAATACTGACAATCGATAAAGTGGTCGATCTATTGAGGTCGGCTCGACTGCTCGACTGGTCGATCCTTCGACTACTTGTGATGCGATGTCTGTCCTAGAGTCTTCCAGGTCTTATCTTCATGGTGTTCGACCATCATCATCTTGCTCGATTACCACTAGATTAGTTCTGCTTCCTCGCAGTACAACCCCTTCGACCGGTTCAGCAGACCAGTTTACCCTTGCGGGAATAATATCCCATATCACCAACCACGAATTAGTTCATAGTTTTTGTAATTTTTCACAATTAGCTACTAGGTACTTTTTGCCATTTTTTTTCTTTTTCCATTTTTGTATGGTCTAATAATGCTTAATGTTTGCATTTTAGGGCATAGTATGGTCAATTTTATTAGGTGAATATTTTTTTTTTTTTTAAAAGTAAAAGCTACAAAACCTAATTATAATTTATTGGATATATTTTGTAATTTTTCCTAAACTAAAAAATTCAAAATAATGGTATAAAAAATTCAAATGTGGAGTACTTGATTATTTATAAATAATAATAATAAAATATTAAATAAACCATATAAAGATAAAAAAAATATATGAAAATTGCAAAAATATATAAGTTATAGATCTTACGTATTGCATTTGCACTTTAGTAGTCTAATAAGAAAGGTCAAAGGAAAATACAGAAATTCTATGGTGGCACATGTGGCACCATATTATGGTGCCACAATATGATATGACACATTATGATTGGTGCCACAACTATCACACATCATGTTGTGGCACCAATCATAATGTTCCACATCATGTTGTGACACCATAACATGCTACACTTTACTTTTTATATTTGTGAAATGAAATTAGCATCCTTTTGTTTGTACAAGCAAGAAGTCCAAAAGTGCATAGTTTTTTTTACCCGGATCGGCCGGCGGGTCGACCTAGGATCCAGTCGAAACGAAGCCGAAACGGGTCTGGGTGAGTTATTTGGACCGAACAACAAAGGACCCGGTAAAACTCCGTCAAAACCCGGGCAACTCGGACTTGACCCGGCCGGTTGACCCGGTCCATATATATATATATATATTTTTTTTATAAAACTATGTATATATGTATATATGGTAAATATTTATCATGAGATACATATTATTAACACTTTAATTTATAAATTTTATACACAAAAAATTTAATTTTGTTAGTTTTATGTATATTTATATGATAAATATACTCTATATATAATTTAAAAAATTTTAAAATTAATTATCCGGTTCAATAATTGACTTGGTAACTCGACGATTGAACCGATGAAAGTCTGCCTGGGTTATTATGGGCAGAGTTTAAAAACTATGCAAAAGTGACTGATAATCTGATATTATGATAAAATAACTTTTTTTTTTTTTTTAAAAAAAAAAAGGTATTTTGCAAATCTCCAATTTGCTTGTGTGTAACACCGAGTGAAAGGTGTGTGTGTGTGAGAGAGAGAGAGAGGAGGGAGTGGACTCGGTACTGCAAGTAGGGGTGGGCACGGTTCGGTTAACCGAACTTTTTGAGGTATTTGCTAACCGAACCGAACCGAGCAAATATTCGAACTCGCTAACCGAAACCGAACCGAAAATCTCGGTTAACCGAATTTTCGGTTAACCGAAAAAAATCCTACTATTCGCGAATTAACCGAACCGAACCGAACCGAGCGAACCTAACACAAATCTGCTTGTTCGCAAATAATAAACCGAACCGAACCGAACCGAATCGAAAACATTAATATAAATATAATATATAATATATAATATATAATATAATATGATATATATTTTAATAAAATATATATTTTATAATATATAATATATAATATTATATATTTTAATAAAATATATATTTTATAAATTTTAATATAATATACGGTTCGGTTCGGTTAATCGGGGTAAAAAAATCTTAAAAACCGTAACCGAACCGAACCAAGCAAATACTTCATTTGAGGTATTTGTAACCGAACCGAGTCCCCCGGTTAACCGAAAATTCGGTTCGATTTCGATTCGGATCTACGATTCAGCGGTTCGGTTCGAATTTTTTGCCCAGCCCTAACTGCAAGTGGTGTTGATATATTCATTTGTTGTTTTCAAAATCACAGAAAGAGAGATATTTATTATCCATTTTTTCCATTCAGATCCAGCAATCTGCAATGGAGAAGAAGAGCGATCGCAATGGAGATGCAGTTGAAAGGCGGCCCAAGACGAAGATCGTGTGCACGCTGGGGCCAGCCTCCCGGTCCGTGCCCATGGTGGAGAAGCTACTTCGGGCCGGGATGAACGTGGCCCGGTTCAACTTCTCACACGGATCTTATGAGTACCATCAGGAGACTCTCGATAACCTCCGCAGAGCCATGGAGAACACCGGCATCCTCTGCGCCGTCATGCTCGACACCAAGGTCTCTCTCTCTCTCTCTCTCTCTCTCTCTCTCTGTTAACTTGCGCACACAATCTTCTTTTCTGTTTCAATTTTGGTTCTCCACCACTGATTCTAGCTTATTCATGATAATTCTGCTTGATTATGTGTTTTCAGCTTCTTCACCCTCCCTTTTTTTCTGCTTCACTTGTTGCATTGATCCATAGATAGCGACCTTCTTTCTTTCTTTCTTTGACTTCGTAAATGTTAATATTATCCAATTTATTTTCTTGATGCTTTCTACATTCAATTTTCCCCAACATTGCCTTCACTAATTTCAGAAACTTAACAGCTGGGAGAGGGGGAAAACCCAAGTTAACATTGTTTTTGACTTGATCATAATTGTACAAGTTTCCATTATCGAACCTTATCTGATATCAAAATGAACTCAACAATGCATTTTTAGTTCTGTCTAACATTTGATATAAAGATCTCATTATTCCGAACGATTGTGGTCCCTTACTCCTTGGACTGGCCTAATTGGGATGTGAGCTAAAGCTACTAGCCTTCCTTTGTCTGCTCTTTGCCTTTAGTAGCATGACAGTTTGTCTAATAGGCCTGAATGGTCATTTGACTCTTATGTACGATGCTACAGGGCCCGGAAATCCGAACTGGGTTCTTGAAAGATGGCAAGCCTGTCCAACTGAAACAGGGCCAAGAGATTACGATATCCACCGACTACAGTATAAAGGGTGATGAGAAGATGATCTGCATGAGCTACAAAAAGCTGGCTGAGGACGTCAAGCCGGGAAGTGTGATACTCTGTGCTGATGGTACAATATCATTCTCTGTTTTGTCTTGTGACAAAGAACAAGGCTTGGTACAGTGCCGCTGTGAGAACACGGCAGTCCTTGGTGAGAAAAAGAATGTCAACCTTCCTGGGGTCATCGTGGACCTTCCAACTCTGACTGAGAAAGACAAGGAAGATATCTTGAAATGGGGGGTCCCGAATGATATCGACATGATTGCTCTTTCTTTCGTTCGCAAAGGTTCTGACTTGGTGGAGGTCCGCAAGTTGCTGGGTGAACATGCCAAGAACATCCTTCTCATGTCTAAGGTCCGTGATAGTTTTTTCCTCTACCGATCGAACTGATAGTCTTTAAACCAAACATAACTTTAAAAACTCAACAAATGAGATCATGCTGGGATTTTCGGTGTTCACACTTCTTAAATCATCGAGTTGTCTGTATCATTGAAATGAAATTTTGTTGCTATACTAAACTTTGTTTTGAGAAATATCCAGATTTGGTTGCTAACAGGTTGGAACTTGTTTAGTTTAGTACTCCAGATCAAGATGAAAATCATTTTAAAGTTAGCTCATTGTTCGACTTTTGGCTTTCATGTACCCTATCAGCAAATTTAAGTCATGACTCAGAACATGTTTGTTTATCGTCCCAATAACTAAGCCTTTTCACAATTCTAGTCTTGGAAAATTCCTAAAGCAATCTATTGTTGTTTACCAATTTGTTATAGCTATTCCTTGTATATTGTGTCACTCTACTGCAGATGCAAAGTCTAATTCCTTTCAATTTTTACCCTCACTTGTAATGTTCAGGTTGAAAATCAAGAAGGGGTGGCAAACTTTGATGAGATCCTTGCCAACTCTGATGCATTCATGGTGGCCAGAGGAGACCTGGGGATGGAAATCCCCATCGAGAAGATATTCTTGGCCCAGAAGGTGATGATCTACAAATGCAACATCCAGGGAAAGCCCGTTGTGACAGCCACCCAGATGCTGGAGTCCATGATCAAGTCCCCACGACCGACCCGTGCGGAAGCCACCGACGTAGCCAATGCCGTTCTCGACGGGACAGACTGCGTCATGCTGAGTGGTGAAACAGCCGCCGGAGCCTACCCGGACCTCGCTGTCGGCACCATGGCTAAAATATGTATCGAGGCCGAGGGCACTATCGACTATGGAGATGTATTCAAACGGATAACTGTAAATGCACCTGTCCCCATGAGCCCGCTCGAGAGCCTGGCCTCGTCTGCCGTTAGGACGGCCAACTCTGCTGGGGCTGCTCTTATATTGGTCCTGACCAGAGGAGGGAGCACGGCCAAGCTGGTGGCCAAGTACCGGCCGGGAATGCCGATACTGTCGGTGGTGGTCCCTGAGATCAAGACCGACTCATTTGATTGGTCGTGCAGCGACGAGTCGCCTGCCAGGCACAGCCTCATTTTCAGGGGTTTGGTTCCGATACTGTGTGCAGGGTCCACAAGAGCGTCCCGTGAGGAGTCGACTGAGGAGGCACTGGTGTTTGCTCTAGAACACGCTAAGGGTAAAGGGCTGTGCAGGGCTGGTGATGCTGTTGTGGTCCTCCATCGGATTGGAGCTGCATCTGTTATCAAGATTGTTACGGTCAAGTGAAGATGCGTGCATGTGTTTTGGGTGGATTTGGGGGAGTGAGGAATAAAAGGATGGTTAATTGATTTTCTGTAATGTTTGTTGTACCATTCGCACTAATGGGGGCAGAAGACCTTTTGTAATGTTGTCCATCTTAATTCTTGGCTGCGGACTTTCATGTATAATTTGTGTTGATAATTTTGTTCTACATTTGGGTTGTACCTATACAATAAAAAGGGTTAATGTATGCTGTTTCTGTTTTCGTAAATGTTTTACGAGCAAGATGACTTGTTTCTGTTTTCGTAAACGTCTTAAGAGCCAATAACTTGATCAGATAACGCAAATAATTCAAATAACTAGGTGACACCGCAGAGGGAGATAACATCTCGCTAAGAACCTCACAGCTGCAAAATGTTTGTAGTTTTGGAGTAGCGTAAACATATCTTAACTGCCCCCAGACCACGATGTAGGCGGGGAAACAAGGTGATGCCGACAAGAGTGCGTTGGCATATCTAGACAAAATAGGAAAAATTACACTTTGTCTACTCAACTATCCGCCTTTTTACACTTTACCCACTAAACTTTTTTTTTTGGCACTTAACCGCTATGAACTTTGCTCTTTTGTGCACTTACCCACTTCCGGCCATCGGAGACTTTACAAGGGTATAATAGTCTTCTTACATGAAAAACAAGGGGCAAAATCGTCATCCCATACCAAAAATGGTTCTTTAAATCGCAATCCCTAGTTCCTCTTTTTCCTTTCCAAATCAGTTGCAGAAGAAGCAAGAGAGAGAGAGTGACCACGCAATGTCGAACATGACGACCAATTGTCAGAAAAGGGCCGTAATGAAGACCTCATGGACAGACCATAATCCGGGAAGAAGATATGCCGCATGTGAAAAATCTCGGGTAATTTTAGGCTTTATGTTCGAAGATTTTTTTCCTAATTTGCAATGTGTGTTGTTCTATTGTAAATATTCAGACCATTAGAAGTTGCAATTACTTCTGTTGATGATTAAATTTGTTAATTTGCAACCTTAAATTTTTCCCCTAAATTGCAATCAATTTTTAATTCGTAACCCTAATTGAACTAATCTGCATACTTAATTGAACTTTGCATTGTCTAACTGATTGATAATCAGATAATTGGAGGAGACAACCCTAATTTGCAGCCCTAAAATTTCCCCTAATCTGCAACCCTAAAATTTTTCCCTAATGTTTCAATTGGTAACCCTAATTTTTTTCCTTAATTAATCTGCAACCCCTAATTGATTGATTGTGTTCAATTGATTGTGTTCAATTGATTGACAATTATTCAGGGCAATGGAGGATGCAATTATTTCTCTTGGATTGACCCTCCAATGTGCCCGAGATCTCGACAAATAATTCCAGGGCTTCTGAAACGTGTTAATAGGCTTGAAAATGAGTTGGCTACAAGGAAGTCTAGGGAGAAGTGGCTTTGGGGAATGATGGTTCTTTCTTGGTTGATCATGTTCTTTGTGAAATAGTGATTTATGTTGGTGGTTTATGTTTCAGTTTGTTAGGTTGTGGCTAAGTCCCATTTTGAATTGTTGGTTGAAACTTAGTCATCTGTTATGTTTTGTAAGACTTCAGTCTATGTCTCTATTATATGTAACATTGGCCATTTGTGCTTTGATGAATGAATGAATGAAAAAATCTTTTGGTTTATGCTTATGTGTGTGGTGAAATGGACTTACATAACTATTGTATTAGAACAACCAAATGGATACAAAAATAACAAATGTATTCACATGTACATATTAAAAAGAAATTGAACATATTCCAAACAAAGGGTACAACAAAAAGGCATATCATTTCCTATACCAAACATATAGAAATGAAACTGTTCCAATCCCAATATGTTCAAATCAAAATGAAGATCACAGAATATTCCCAAATAAACATAATAATACAAAATCTGAAATTGTTCCAATCCCAATATGTTCAACTCAAAATGACCAACCAAACTTCAAACAAACTTTTAGAATGTCAATACATGGCATTACAAACTTTTCAGACCAACCAAACTCCAAACAACAAATATTCTAGACTTGAGAGTATGCAACCCTTTTTTCTTATAGAAAATCTCACACCATAAAGCATGTTGCTGCTTCCTGGTGGCCTAACAGGTTGTGTAAGAGCTTGTGGCTTTTCACCAACAACACCTTGTAGCCTCAAGCTCCTCTTCACTGACAGCTTTGCTTTCACACCCTCATTTCCAATATTGACCATTTCTTTTCCTTTTCCCTTCACTGAATTTTGTGCAGATTCTCCAATTTTGTTGTCTTTCCCCTGCACAAAACCAAATATAAAAAGGAAAAAATGAATAAAAAACCACAGTTGGTGCTTGTGAGGATCATTTGTGAATACAAATGCCATACCTTTGCTGGCTCTTGTAAGGATCCTCCAGCTTTGATACTTTTATCCTGCACAAACACAAACACCAAAAATAATGAAAAGTCATGGTTAAATCATAACCTACTTCAGTTTAACCAAAAAGAATGAAAAGGAAAATTTATACCTTTTGTGGCCTTTTCCCAGAGACTCCAACTCTTTGGGCTTTCTCCTATACATTAACGACAAAAAAAATCAAAATTTGTACAGTTACTTAATGATAAAGGCTTATAACAAGAACATATTGTGTTAGAACAAAAATCAATTTTACCTTAAGTCTAGGACTCTTTCTTATGCTCTGCAGATCATTCCCTTCTAAGTTGGATTTGCTAGGACTCTTTCTCTTTCTCTGCAAATAAACATGAGATTAGTAAAGATACTACATGGTTGAATAAATGACAACATTAATTTTCATCTAAGTACCTTATTTGCAGTTGATTCTGTTTGAACTGGAGCAGACACATCTGTTTGAACTGGAGCAGGCACATCATTCCTTTTATTTTTGTGGCAAACCCTTGAATTGTGGTTTGGTTGTTTGCAGATTGAACATCTCATTATCACACCTTTCTTAGTCAATCTCACTTGATTAGGTGCTGCAACATTTTCTTTAGATTGCTCACTTGCATGCTTTCCCTTGACCTCATCTGCTCCCATCTTCCTCTGATACTTCTTGGGTCTTCATGGCATTTTTTCAATACTAGGTGGTAGCAATGGTGGAATATCCACTTCTGGCCATTCATCTTGTCCATTTAGTGCTCCCATCAAATGACTGTAGACCCTTAAGTATGTCTCCTTTTTGTAACAGTCATCAACAAAATCCTCAGGATTTTTTCCTAAATAAAAGATTCCTGATATTGCATGGGGCATGGAATTCCTGATAACTGCCACTTCCTACAAGTGCAAGATTTCTCACCAACATGAACTTTAAACCTACTCCCAGTCATGGTCTCTATTTCAAATTGATCCATACCATTCCAATGTGCAATGAACTCCATACTAGTTTTCTTCATTTCATCAAGAAACTTCACTATCCTAGGACAAAGTTCTCCATGATATTGGTCATCTAGTCTCTTTTCAGATGGATACTCTTTATTAGGTAAGTCCTAATCATTTCAAACATGCTTACAATGGACTCACCTCTTGCCTTCACAATCACAGCATTGAAAGTCTCTGAAAGATTGTTCAAAAGTACATCACACTTTGAATGTGTGCTAAAATGAGACCTAGACCAATGTGCAGGAGGTCTTGCATTCAACCACTGGTATGCAAGTTCATCTCTCTCTTTGATCTCAGTCATCACCCTCTGAAAATCCTGCACTCTAGATGCCCTAGCAGCTTTCCACAACAACTTCTTTAAGGCAAGCCCTTTATGTTGGGCTTTAAAATTGTGGTACAGGTGTTGAACACAAAATATGTGTTCACTACCAGGTAATAGGGTTTCAACAGCTTCAATCAAACCTTTTTGCTTGTCAGACATCAATGTCCAATGATAAGGGTTTCTGATATTTAAGTCTTCAATCAGAAAATGTAAAAACAACCTCCATGACTTCTTCTTTTCCTTTTCTACCACATCATAAGCAAATGGGAACATCCCATTGTTTGGATCTATACCAACTGCAGTTAGAAGGACCCCACCCATTGAAGTTCTCAAATGACAACCATCAAGAAATACAACAGGCTTACATCCATCCAATAAACCATCTCTAAGTGCACCCCAACAAATGTACATTCTTTCAAAAAGTGTTTTATCACCTACCCTTCTACACTTTATCTTCACTGTGGTATTAGGATTTGACAACCTAATTTCACTGGCATAAGACCATAACAATGCATATTGTTCAGGATTAGCCCCAGATCCACTAGCCAACACTTTTTTTTTAGCTCTATAGAGTTGACTTTTATTGAAAAGAAGCTTGTGTTCCCCTTGCACTATCTTCCTCATGGATTCCACAGGCCACTTGGGATCACTCCATATTTTCTCTCTATATGTATCAGCTAGCCACGTAGAGTTTGCATGAGAAACCTTCTGTTTTCTAGGACATTTATGCTTGGGCTCATACTTTCTCAACTGAACACTATCCTCATCAGGCAACTTAGCAGCATACATAATCCAAGGACAAGTTGTGTGCTTACATTTAACTTGTACCTTGGTTCTCTCATTAATGCTAAAAACCACATCCTTCACATTCTTAATAGCATGCTGTCTAACTGCTTTCCTAAACAAAGACATATCTGTAAAAAACATGCCTAACTCAAAAATAGGGTTTGAAATGTCTGATTTCTCATTCAAAACATTATGACCCTTATGCTTATCCTTTGTTCTGCTGACTATGGACTCAACATGGGGTCTGCACACACCCTCAGACCTACTTGAACTTAGGCCCCCAAACTCAACATCACTATCAATATTTTCATCAAACATAATATCATCATCATCAGCAGAAACATCACAATCACTATCTATGAAAACATCAGAGTGACTAGAATCTGAACCCCAAGACTGAACATCATCACTATCATTGCTCATACATTCATCAACCAAATCATTAACAATATCATTCTCTGGATCCCTAAAGTCATTTGTTGCCATGCCTTCATCATCACAATCACCAATATAATTCAAAGGTTCATTAATATGAGGAAAAGAAGAGGTTTCATGATTTTTCTTTTTAGTTTCATGCTCCACATATAAACCCACCAGCCTGCTATCATTCACCATTTGCCCCATTCTGAGTACATCACTATCATCAATCAAGATAAGCAAATTATTGCAGTCATTCACATCTCCTTGTGTGCAGTGAAGTTGTTTCACTTCATTAACACCTAACTCTTCTAGCATACTCATAATCTCAATTAAAGAAATTTCATCAGGATGACAATAGTCAATATAAGCAACTTCACCTGCCAAATAGTACTTATTGCCCAAATTCAAAAAATCCCCAGAATGATAAACTCTGATTGTGAACATCTCAGATTGGGGACCTGAACATATAACAAAGTAAAAAAACAAAAGAATGAGATTTCGACATGAACAACTCTTATGCAATACAAAAAAAATCGCATTTTTCTACCCACTGAACATATAACAAAGTACTAAACACAGATTACGGACTAATTTACAACGAATTAGAACACGAACACCAGTGTCGTCCCAAAAATAAATGAAAAAAGAAGAACAAATTACGAGCGCACCGTAATCTGGGCAACAACTTGCAGACGGTATATCTTCATCATCGGAAGTACGTACTTTCCATGACATTGTTCAATTACTATATGCTGTCCTTGAAAGATTTTCGAGAGAATGAACTTTCTTTGGAGATTAGGGTTTGGAATTGAGGGAATTTTGAAATTGGGGACCGATCGATTTGGGGCTGGGACGGATTTTAGGTTTTAATTAGGAAAAGAACTTGAAATGACTGTTATGCCCTCGTTAGCCATGTCGCCATGGCCACGTGTCGAACTGATATGAATTCCGATGG